CTATGCCTGTACTCGGCAAACTTGACTGCAGTTGCCTACGCAGTACACCTACGCCTCCCTAACGCCTCCCTAGGCGCAGGCCACGTTGGTCCACAACCCCTGCGTGTGACTGCAGCCTGTATACTTACAGGGCCGGGAGCCCAGCTTCGGCCGGTCCTTGGGAGTCGCACGAGTGCCCAGTTCTCCATTTTCCTTATCCACAAAGATCACAGTAGCCATTCTGAATTAACTAGGGGAGGGAAACACATATGAACAAAAAGGTAAGGTCCCTGGCGTATGTCTTAGAGATTTCTATGCGGTACGCAATGTGTTAAACCCTGGGGGTTAGGGAAGACGAGAGAACCTAAGGGGCAGCACCGACCAAACTCTCCACGCGGGGCACGTTCACGCAAAAACGGCAAGAGCTAGGCGCAGGGAGAAGCGCGAGCTCGAGCCCACGGGCACGAAATCCAGCTCTTAACTCTTCAAGGCCGCGTAAGAGCCTCTAAATTCCAGACGAGTTGGCGGTTTGGGGCCGGCAGGAACCCTGGTTCTCAGAAGAACCGAACCGTGGAGGGTCGCCGTGCAGTCAAGGCCGACAACCGGGCTGGGCGCTATAGACGACCCCGGGGAGTCCCAGCCGCAACCCCACGCCCCCAGCCCCTGGCCCTCGCCCGCCCCACCCCCTGCCCCCGACCCCGACCCCCCGGGACCCGGTCCCCAACACGCCTTTTTCTTTTTCTTCACCAGACCACCACCCTCCCCCACCCACTCCCGTCCCCGTCCCCGTCCCCGTCCGACCTCTCCATTCACCCACGTTAGGATCCACAGCCAAAATCTCCCACGACTCAGCCTCCAGCGGTCGCGCCCGGCCCGGCGTTTGAACCACAACTCAAATTCCTATTGGCTCACCCGCCCAGTGGGCGGGACCGGAGTGGGGTGGAGACTCCCAGGAAGAACCAATGGGAAGAACCTACGTTCCTCAGGCTCCGCCCCGAAAGCTTTTTCCCCAAGAAGATTACAGCTTGTTTCTTGGGAAGAAAAAAAAAAAATCAAACCACGTGACACTTTAATAATGGACTTTTAGGTGTGTTTTTTACTAACAGATAGAAGGGGAGTGAATATGGTCACCATTTGTTATGATATTAAGATACAGAGTTTTGTTTTGTTTTTCCTGAGACACTGGAGGGGCCAAGACGTTTTTAAATGAAAAGATTGTGAAGTTTAAAAAGTCAAGGCGAAGTGGCAGCTGAACTATTTGCCTAAAGTCTTCAACTAATCAACTATTTGTCCAGAGAGTAAATACACCGGATCAAATTCAAAAAGAAGAGGTATCCTGGAGAAAAGGCATTATAGTCTTCAGGAAAATAACTGAGGAAAAATGGATACATAACCAACAGTTGTATATAATTAGAGATATAAAAAAAATACATACATAGTCGGGTGGGAAAACAACCCATTAGGTCTAAAGAACACTAGCAGAGCAGAATTAAAAATTAAGAAAAAATATAAGTACCGATAGATCAAACAGCAATATTTGAGTTATTCTGTTATGCTTGTGATTAAGAATGGACTGCTTATTCCCTCACTGAAGGCCTTTCCTCAATATTTCAGGCCAGGATGCTGTTTCTAGTACTGCAACAGAAATCTCTGGCTTAGGAACAAAATAATGATGCTAATAAATACATAATTCAGGCCTCCTTAAAAATTCTATAATAGGGACTGTCGTAGATATGGTTCTCAATATATGCCAGCTCATCGGCTCTTCTTCCCTGGCATTTCAGGACCAAAATTGACCACGAAATGATTCAGTCACTAAACAAAAAATTATTGAATGCTGTTTAACACATCAAGAAGAATCCTAGCCCTAGCCGGTTTGGCTCAGTGAATAGAGCCTCAGCCTGCGGAGTGAAGGGTCCGGGGTTCGATTCCCGTCAAGGGCACATGCCCTAGTTTCGGGCTCGATCCCCAGTGGGGTGCGTGCAGGAGGCAGATGATCAATGATTCTCTTTCATCATTGATGCTTCTCTCTCTCTCTCCCTCTCCCTTCCATTCCAAAATCAATAAAAATATATTTTTTTTTAAAGAAGAAGAAAGGATCCTAACTCAAGAAGGCGAAGAAAAAAGAGAGGACACAAAATGCATAGCCCTAGCTAGTTTGGCTCAGTGGATAGAACTTTGCCTGCAGACTGAAGGGTCCTGGGTTTGATTCCAGTCAAGGGCACATGCCTGGATTGTGGGCTCAATCCCCAGTAGGGGCGTGCGGGACGCGGCCAATCAATGATTCTCTCTCATCATTGATGTTTTTCCCTCTCCCTTCCTCTTTGAAATCAATAAAAACATGCATGCTTTTATTACCCCTTCCATGTCCTGTCCTTTTTCTTTTGAACCCCCACCCCTTCCCTTATTTTTCCCCAGTATCACTTCCTACATATCTCAGCTCCATATTATATCAATGAGACACCAAAGTGTTGATTTTTAAAACCAAATCCATACAACACCTACAACTTCCAAGTGGGGGTTCTTTCTCCCAAGGTTTTTGGTTGCAAGGTTTATATTTCCCTAAGGTAAACCTTCCCCTTACAACAGGAAGCACTGTCTCCCAAGGTCATTCAGTAACTGAAAATGCCATAACCACCTCCTCTTGGAGTGACCACTGTTTCCTTACCAATGAGCCGCAGACCCACTTTGTTATTCCAAACGATTAGTGGGCTATCCAATTGACCCCTCCCTCACCTCATACGGGTACTTACATCCTAACCAACCCCAGTGTAGACTAATTCTGATTGACAAGCAGCGACCTTCCAGAACTGCTTCCTTAAACCCTCCTCACAATCAGTCCTCCAGGGAGGAACCCAAACCCCACAAAAGATTCTTCTGGCTTGTCCAGCACATTCTATGATTCCCCTGGGAGATGAGCTCCCTGGCTTGTGCCTGGTGATTTGAACTTAATAGACCTCAACTCTTCCAAGTAAATTCCAGTAAATATTTTAAGAAGATAAACAAGTGTGAGTGCTTCCTAGACTGTCAGGCTATTCTCTGACACTTTCCATTCCTTCATCTATTGCCCTGTAGAATCAAAACATTTACATTCCTAAGCTCTAGACACTGCAAATTCTTAATAAGAAAAAAATGACATTGTAATGGGCTATCTTATTGAGGTAAGAATGTTAGCTATTTTCACTTTTACCTTTTAAAGGAATATAGGTTATTTGGGGGGAAAAATTTTAAATGTGACCAGAACAGATGGAACAAAAAATAAAAATTTCAACTGAGTAAATTTGGAGATCTAATTGGCTCTATTAAATGATTCGTGGATTGGGCAGCATCCCATCTAACAACTACAAGAGCATTGTGGAAGTTTTTATAGGAAGAAGGATGGAGCAAGGAGATATTAACAAAAACAAACGGTTTGTTTGGGGACCAGGACATCTTTTTTTTTTTTTTTTTAAGGGGGTGGGGGATGCTGGAGGAAGAAGGGGAGGACATCTTTTTTTTTTTTTTTTTTTAAGGGGGTGGGGGATGCTGGAGGAAGAAGGGGAGGATTTTTATCATGCAGATGGACTCTCTTTCTGTGGGGGTCGTGGATGAACAGGGCCCTTGTGACAGACAACCTTACTGGTGCCTGAGAAAGGAAAGGATGTCTAAGCTGCTGCTGGGACTTGATCAGTAACCAAGGGAACAGAAAATTCCTAACCACGCCACATATCCTTTCCAACAGTATCCATTAAAAAGAGAAATGATTGTAGAAGGCAGTGACTGTTCTTTCTACATCCTGATAAAAATATAAACATAACTGCTTCCAGAACCCTTCCCATAGCTCCAGATTCCAGTGCTCAATGACCCTTCCTTATCTGTATATTCTCTCCACCTGATGGAAAGCCATTACTCCTTGACTATATGTAACTAACCAAAACAGCTGTATTCTTCTTTGTTCCCCCCTCTCCCGGCCTATATAAATATCCCTGAACTCTGCTCTCAGGCAATGTCCTCAGATGTGCCCAAATAAATCTCTTTTCCTAAGTCTGTAAAAGTTCAAGTCTTCTTTTTCTTTTTTCTTTTTTTTTTTTCTTTTTTTAATATATTTTATTGATTTTTTACAGAGAGGAAGGGAGAGAGAGAGAGAGAGAGTTAGAAACATCGATCAGCTGCCTCCTGGACATCTCCCACTGGGGATGTGCCCGCAACCCAGGTACATGCCCTTGACCGGAATCGAACCTGGGACCTTTCAGTCCGCAAGCCGACGCTCTATCCACTGAGCCAAACCGGTTTCGGCTTTTTTTTTTTTTTTTTTTTTTTTTTTTTTTTTTTTTTTTTAAGGTCTTCTTTTTCTTGATATGCTTGATGAGAAAGTCCAGACTGAATGAGATTACATTTCTGGGAAAGGTGAAACTGCAATTAAATCCATTTGGAGGGAGTGGGAGGGGCATGGGGAAAGGAAGATAAGGCTGAAGAACTCCGGGTCGAAAGCTTCCAATTCATAAATATATCCTCATCGGGGAGACAAACGCCAAGCTGAGGAGGGAGCAGAGAACGGGGACCTTGAAGGAAGCCGCCATCCTGAGCCTCGGACATGGTTCCAGTCAGACCAGGACTCTGTCTCCAGTTGTTTTTAAAGTAAAAATTATAAGATGTTATATCAGATTTTAAAGGCGTTTTGCCTTTTTTCTTACGGCGAAATGATGTGCTGGATATATTGAGTTAAACAAAATATTGCAAAAGTAATCTTATCTGTTTCTATTGTCTTAATATGGCTACTGGAATGTTTAAAATGACATCTAGGGTTGGCATATTACTCTTGGACGACGTTGCATTGGAGGGTTTTAAGCTTGGGTGGTGGGACGTGATATGAACAAATTATGGTTTTGAAAAAAATATCACTACTGCGTGGACTACTGATTCAAGGGAGTGGGAAGAGTGGCAAAACTCGAGATCTCGCGAGACCAACGTCTCGGGATCCTGCGACCCAAAGAATTGTTACTGCGCATGTGTCCCGCGGTGGCTGCTGGGAAGCGCTGAGAACCGGAAGTAAACATTGACGTATTGGCTCTGTTTCAGTCCGGTGGTTTGGGGGTCCGCTGCGACAGGACTTGGTGAGGAATTATTTTGAGAACCTGGGTGGGAGGTTGAGGAGGCGAGCGGGAGCGGAACGGTGCGAGGGAGTGGGCCGGGCGGGCGCGGGGAGGGGGGGGGGAGTGGGCCGGGAGGGCGCGGGGACGGTAGGGGGTAGTGGGCAGGGAGGGCGCGGAGACGGTGCGGGGGAGTGGGCCGGGAGGGCGCGGAGACGGGTACAAGAAGAGGAAGGTGAATCTAGGTCGGAGAACCCCGGAAAATTGGCCGGAAACTTCTAATTCTGAAGGGGCTGATGAATATCAGGTTGAGGAGGGAACAGGGAAAGCGGGCCAAAAAGGAAGCCTTAGACGTGTTCTGTGCCCAGTCAGACCAGGACTGTGTCTTTCGTGGTCTTTAAAATAAAAGTTAATGTCATTGGAGCTGCACTGCCCAGTATAATAGTTATTAGCTGCTTGTGGCTCTTAAGCACTAGAAATCTGGCTAGTCTAAGTGTAACATCCACATCAGATTTTAAAGACAGTTTATTTTTTTCTTATGGCGAAATGATATACTGGATATATGGGGTTAAGTAAAATATTGCAGAAGTAATTTTACCTGTTTCCTTCTATTGTCTTAATGTGGCTACTGGAATATTTAAAATGACATATCGTAGGAAAAAGTAATAACACTGCGGTGGTAGCTTTGACAGGTGAATATGGATGATATTCAGAAGGTGAAAAATTTTTTAATGATGAAATAGGTGTGGGAATTAGCTGGAACAAGTAAAGGGATGAATGGTGGTGTTTTTTATTAAGAGAGGAAACTGGAAGGAGACTAGATTTCATAGAGAAGATCATGAATTTGAGTTAAGATTTGTTGAGTTTACGTGTCTCTGAGATCTCTTAAGTGGAGATGCTGTGAAGTAAGCACTTGGAATATATGTATTTGAAGCTCAGATAAAAGGTCTAGAGTAGAGAAATAAATTGGAGCCAAGGTTGGAATGTAGCTACTAAAGCCTTGGACATAGATGAGCTTGTCCACTAGTGGGGTTCACAGTGATGAAAGAGGCTCTAGGATTTGCAGAATCCAAAATTAACTAGGCAGGAATGGGTAAACCTGCACAGGAGCCAGGAGAAGGAGCAAGAGGGGTCCAAGAAAAACCAGAAGAGTATAGTGTGCCATGAGCCAAGGGATAAGAATACATAAAAGAGAAAGGGAACAGAACGGAAAAGAATGTCCACCTAGCAGTAACTCTTCAGAGTGGTAAGGATTGGAAGCTAAATTAGAGTGGTTGAGAAGGGAAGTAGATGACCAAACAGAGGTAATAAATATAGATAACTCTTTTTTAAATATATATTTTTACTGATTTCAGAGAGGAATGGAGAAGGAGAGAGAGAAACATCAATGATGAGAGAGTCATTGATTGGCTGCCTCCCACAGTCCCCACACGGGGGGATGGAGCCCGCAACCCAGGAACATGCCCTGAGCTGAAATTGAACTGTGACCTCCTCATTCATAGGTCGACATTCAACTACTGAGCCATGCCGCTGGGCTAGATAACTCTTTTTTTTTTTTTTAATATATTTTATTGATTTTTCACAGAGAGGGAGGGAGAGAAATAGAGAGTTAGAAACATCGATGAGAGAAACATCAATCAGCTGCCTCCTGCACACCTCCCACTGGGGATGTGCCCACAACCCAGGCACATGCCCCTGACTGGAATCGAACCCGGGACTCTTCAGTCCGCAGGCTGACGCTCCATCCACTGAGCCAAACCGGCTTCAGCTAGATAACTCTTAAGACATTTAGTCTTTAAGGGTAATAAAGATCAGACTCTGTTTAAGAGTTTGTGTGGTAGAAAAGTTTAACATTTACATAGAGAGGAATTCAGGAATGTATATGAGAGAGTCTTATGAAATTTTAAATCTGTGTCTTTGTCTCTCCATTTGTAAATTAGAATTGAGGGAGTAACTACTACAGTAGAGATTTTTATTTACGGGAAAGAAAACCTTCCCTTACAAATACTATGAAAGAATAAGAATATATGAAACTTTATTTATAACTCAGAGTATGTATTATTAAGATATACTTTTGATAGTTTCACTGATGAACTCATGAAGGCCTAGTTTATACTAATACAGATTTCTTCCCTTTTAAAGAGGAGGCCAGATAACAATGGCGGCTGCAGCTGTGGACACAGTTAATGCCGCCCCCGTGGCAGGGTCCAAAGAAATGAGTTTGGAGGAACCAAAGAAGATGACCAGAGAGGACTGGAGAAAGAAGAAAGAGCTAGAAGAACAGCGAAAACTGGGTAATGCTCCTGCAGAAGTTGATGAAGAAGGAAAGTAAGTAAATATTTGTATGATCTTTTCATTCACAATTCAGATTCATGTCTAACTTTATCAATTCCTCATCCTTTGGCAGGAAGCTATTTTTACCATTTACGTCATGTTTGTTTTATTTATTTTATCAAACTCATGTGTAAGGTTTAATAATCAAGTAATATTGAAGGATTTATAATGAATGGCTATAGTCCATTTCAACCCTTCCCACTCCCTGCCCCACTGTAAAAAAAGTGACTAATTATAAATCTTTGTATTTTTGAGTTTTTCTGGCTGATACCTACACATGTCTAAATAATATACCTAACCCATTATTTTAATCAACTCTAAGATATTACTAGTTTACCTCTTTCTCTGATACAAGATTTTTTTTTTTTTTTTTTTTTTTTTTTAGTTAAGGTATTACAAATGTGTCCTCATCCCCCCCATTAACCCCTTCTCTGATACAAGATTTATCTCACTAAAATACATCTCTCTTCTTCCTTCAGTTATATCACTGTTCTTAATTTATTTGTGGGAAATTTTTCACTCTAAATTATTTTTTATTGTTTTCTTTTAATTATTTAAATTATGTTATAGAAATATCAAGTGTATCCTTTACCCAACCCACCCCCCACTGCAGTATCTCTGTTCTTAGATTCTGTATAGGCTATCTTTAGTAATTTGTAATATCAATTATTTTCGCACTTTATTCTTTTAAAAAAAATCTTTTTTTTTATTACAGAGACATCAACCCTCATATTCCTCAGTATATTTCTTCAGTGCCATGGTATATTGATCCATCAAAAAGACCTACTTTAAAGCACCAGAGACCACAACCAGAAAAGCAGAAGCAGTTCAGCTCGTCTGTTGAATGGTATAAGAGGGGTGTAAAAGAGGTATGTAGGCATCCTGTATAGATCCCTGTAGAAATGGAGATTAAGAACTTAATATAACAACCTTTAATACAATACTATATAAAATAGCAATAGCTTATATAACCTTCCATCTGGTATTAAAATTCACACATATGACATTAGCTTCTGTATTTTATTTTATAAATTTTGTATTGCTGAAGTCCTTAAACTTTCTCATTTATAAAAGTATAGGAGACTCTTAACTGGTTATCCTCTTCATAAATAAATCAATTCATCAGACAATATAATGAGAGCCAGTGTTATTTCTAACTTATTCAGATAAATGAAATATTTCCTTTGTTTTTCTTTACATTCATTTATAGAATTCCATAACTACTAAGTATCGCGAAGGAGCGTGTGAAAATTGTGGGGCCATGACACACAAAAAGAAAGACTGCTTTGAGGTAAATTCACCTTTGAGAATTGTGGAAACTGTTGTCTGGGTCTTTCTTTCTTGATTCCTTACCAGAAAGCTTGATTCTATTTTTCTAAAATTATCTAAACTTAGCTACCAGTTAGATAAAAATTAATTTGTGTGACATAGTTCAACATTACCAAGTTTTTCTGCTGGAAGACTAACTGGTGATTTAAGAACTAGACAATAAAGACCCATGGTATGTTCATAACTGCTCTGTAAAGATTATAGGAAGTTTTCCTCTGGGCTACAGGTACTTCGGGAAAGATGTAATCTTACTCTGTTTTCCAGAGACCCAGGCGAGTTGGAGCAAAATTTACAGGAACTAACATAGCTCCAGACGAACATGTCCAGCCTCAGCTGATGTTTGACTATGATGGGAAGAGGGATCGGTGGAATGGCTACAATCCAGAAGAACACATGAAAATTGTAGAAGAATATGCCAAAGTTGATCTGGTGAGCAAAATTCCCTGTTTTCCTAGTATCCTTAAAGGATGAACATACTGCTCTACCACTAATTCAGCTCCTCTATTTTTCAAGCCTTCAAGCAGTTTAAAAACGGAGGCATTTTTATGTAAGCTTAATTCAATAGTGAACATAAACAGTGTACTGGCCCCATTTAGTAGCAATTTCTTTTTATTTGATTCTGTGTTGTCCTTTACTCCCTGACTTAGGTTGTAAAAAAAAAAATACTGGAAATGTGAGAACAGATTAGTGTCCAGGCTTTTGGCTTTTTGAGGTTATAAAATTGTTTCCCATACTGTATCTTGCCCAGAGCCTATTTTACAATTGTCTCAGAGCATTTAGAGGGTGGTAGAATGGGAACTAAGATAACCTGTTTCAGAAAATTGAATTTTTCTTTAACTAAACTTCAGTTTTCTTCTGTTATGTTTTTACCTACTCATCCTCATTCTTTAAAATCCATAGTCACACTGCCTTTTTATTTTTCTAAGGGGGAGATAACATTTAAGAATCATGGGTTTTCACATAATCTGAATTTTGTCTTTTCTTGAACAGTGAAATATATGGAAATACTGGGCCTGCCTGACAAGAGTCAGTCAATGGAGTCAGGTGACAGCTGCCCCTTTTAGATAGGGCTTGCTCTCTGCTGTTTACCACAGGTGCTGTCTGGCTCAGTTTCCATTCATGCCTACTTCAAACAGGAGTTTGTAACTCCTATCCCTTAGAGAACCATAAGTCTGGAGCTCCAGGAAATCTCAGGGATGACCTTGTCCACTGAGCTTTTCTGAAAACAATAAACTTACTCTCTTTAAATATATTACAAAATTTAAATGTTCATTTGAATGTTGTAAGTAAATTGCAAATGTTTTTTTTCTTTTTTTTGGTCAGGCAAAACGAACACTGAAAGCCCAGAAACTCCAAGAAGAATTAGCCTCAGGAAAGTTAGTGGAACAGGCTGTAAGTAATAAAAATGATCAATAAAATTTCACATCTTAGTAAAAAAGAAAATTGAAACAAACATTTAATTTAGTCCCGGCCGGTATTTCTCAGTGGTTAGAGTGTCAGCGCTCACACCAAATGGTTTCAGGTTCAGTTCCTACTCCAGGGCATGTACCTAGGTTGCAGGTTTGATCCCCAGGTCCCCAGTCAGGGTGGTTGTGGGAGGACACCAATTGATGTGTCCCTCTCTTCCTCCCTACTTCCCTTCCTCTCTCTCTAAACATATCCTCTGGTGGGGATTAAAAGAAAAATTATATTTAATACTGCAAATCTCATTCTTGTATATACCTCTTTATATAATTGACATATTGTTTGTTTATGATAAATTCCTAAAAGTGTAATTGTTGATGCAGTTAATATGTTTATTTAAAATTTTGATGACCTGTCACTTAGCTTCCATTCAGAAAGGCTATATGATACATATATAGTAATATACTATATACACTAGAGCCCCGGTGCACAAATTTGTGCACGGGTGGGATCTGGCCGGCCAGGTGGGGGCTAGGGGGAGGGAATGCAGGAGGTTGGCCAGCTGGCCCCGCCCACTGGTGAACTCCCGGTCAAGGGGACAATTTGCATATTAGCCTTTTGTTATATACTAGAGGCCTGATACTAGAGGCCTGATGCGGGAAATTCGGGCAAGAGTAGGCCTTCCTTCCCCCAGCTGCCAGCACCAGCTTCCTTCTGGCACCTGGGACCCGGGCTTCCTTTGCAGCCCCAGCTTCGTCTGGGAGGACGTCCAGAAGGACGTCCTGTCTAATTAGCATATTATGCTTTTATTATTATAAAGGATTTCTCTTTTTTACTCTTATTTATTGATTGATTGGCTTTAGAAAGAGAGAAGGGAGAGAGAGAGAAACATCAATTTGTTGTTTTATTTATGCATTTATTGGTTGATTCTTGTATGTGCCCCAACTGGGGATCTAACCCACAACCTTGGCATATCAGGACAATGCTCTAAACAACTGAGCTACTCAGCTGGGGCCCACATACACTTCTGTGCTCCCCTACTAATGCTATAAAGTGTTCTTTTTACCTTTGAATTCTTTAAATGAACATGATGAAATACTGATTACTTTGCCCTATAGGTGTTCTGTGGAGTTAGAAAATCCTGAACAATTGCTAATGAAGAAAGTGTGTCTCTGTAACAAAGATTTCATACTCTCCTTAAATCACAATATGGTGTTACTTCAGTAGATTTCTTCATGGCCTAAATTTTATAAGAGGCTCTTTGGGCTCTAAAAATACTTTTTACATGATCCTAGTAACATTTTCTTTTTGGACTTGGTAGAAAACTAGTGAGGTATAATGAAAATGGTATGTCTAAGATTAACACATATGAAATGAATATTTATTGTGTACATTGGTCATTTTAATCTTTCTATTTCCTTTGTGTGATTATAATTTTACTAGAGGCCTGATGCATGAAATTCATGCAAGGGCCTTGGCTGCCACGGCGGGCTCTGCCTCTGCCACCTCTGCCTGAGCCCCCGCCCACTATGGCTTTGTCCGGAAGGAAGGACGTCCGGTCTAACTAGCATATTACACTTTTCTTATTATAGATATCGACAAATTCTCTAGAAATTTTCTGGCTTCTAATAAGATAAACTATTCACAGGGACATACTTGTATTAAGAACTATGTGCTCATTATAAGTGAGAAATATGAGAATTTGTTCAGTTAGAGTTATTATATTATCTTATGTTTTTAAAGTGTTAAATAATCAATAGGTTTAATAGAATAAAATACATTTTTTTCCTTCTGTCATAATGCAGAATTCTCCAAAACACCAGTGGGGAGAAGAGGAACCAAATTCTCAAATGGTAATGAATATTTGCCCTATCTGAGTATACGTTAAATGTTTCCATTTCTGATGGCAATTATAATAATACCATTATTACTAATTATATTAGCACAATTAATAATAGCCTTAAAGAACACAAGTGAATAAGGGTATGGTTAAAGGGAAATGAAAGGAAAACAACTAAATGCTATTCTTTTTTTCTTACTATTTTTTTTCTCTCCCTCTTTCAGGAAAAAGATCATAATAGTGAGGATGAGGATGAAGATAAATATGCAGATGATATTGACATGCCTGGACAGAACTTTGACTCTAAGAGACGGATTACTGTTCGGAATCTCAGGATTCGAGAAGATATTGCAAAAGTAAGCCTGGCCAACTTAATGTACACATTCAACAAATATTTGTCTTCCCAGCTTAAATTTTACCTACTTGTCTGATATCTGGGCAGTATGTGGGTAATATAATCAGTCATTCCAAAATTAGGTATCATTCTGGATTTTTCTCTTCATCTGTGCCCCAGAATGCATTCACATATATAATTGATTGTGATCAACTTCAGAAAAATTTAGTGTTGGGAGTAAACGTTAATACAGCCTTCAAACTTTTTTATTCTAGTATTTGCGGAATTTAGATCCAAATTCTGCTTACTATGATCCCAAAACTAGAGCGATGAGAGAAAATCCCTATGCCAATGCAGGAAAGAATCCAGATGAGTAAGTATTGAGTTAAATGTACAGATTCCGTGGTTGGGTGTGTGTGTGTGTATTAACCGGGGAACATATGCATAGCCCATGGACACAGACAGTAGTGTGATAAAGGCTTGGGAGGGGCAGGTGTAGGGAGGAGGGAGTCAATGGGGAAAAAAACAACAAAACAAAGGGGACATTTTCAAAAACCACTCAAAACACCCAAAAAAAGTATAGATATCAAGATAATACTGAATCTGAATTAAAATGAACATTATCTATGATTGGATCAGAAAAGAGTTAACTTTCCTTAAAGAAATCAATCTCTGAAACTTTTTTTTCCCAATTTTTATTTACAGAGTGAGCTATGCAGGAGACAACTTTGTTAGATACACAGGTGATACCATTTCAATGGCTCAGACACAGTGTAAGTATTTGCTCCTTTGTCAAGGCATTTTATATCAGCCCATAAGAAATTTGGGGGCATTTTAAAAACACTATAGAACTGACGACTTATTAAGATGTTTTTAATTGCCCTAGTGTTTGCATGGGAAGCCTATGACAAGGGATCTGAAGTGCATCTGCAGGCCGATCCCACCAAACTAGAGCTCTTGTATAAGTCCTTCAAGGTCAAAAAAGAAGACTTCAAAGAACAGCAGAAAGAAAGCATCCTGGAAAAGGTACTTTTGGCTAAAATGTTAAAGAAAGTTTCTTAAAGATAAATGACCAGTAAATAATCACTTGATCTACATTTGAAATACAATCCAAAGAGAGTCCCTTTCAATCCATCAGGAATAGTACTTTCTTTCCATTGACTTAATCATTTGGCAAATAATATCAGTATAGCCGTGTCCCTGAGTTTTGGTAGCAAAACAAACCACCCCAAGACTTAGTAACTTAAAAATGCACATTTCTTTTCTTTTTTTTTCATGAATCTGTGTATCAGCTTGATCTTCTGATCTGGGCCTGCTCATGTGAGGCTGGGTGGTCTAGAATGGCCTGACTCTGATCTCCAGCAGGTAGCAGGCAGGTTGTCCTAAGGGGGCTCATCTCTGCCCCACCTGGGCTCTCCTCTAGAAGGCTAGTCCAGCTTCTTTCCATGGCATTCTCTGGATACCAGAGACTAGTCACAAAATAGGTATGCCCCAGTGCATGAGCGATTTCCAGGCCTTTGCATGCATCACATTTGTCAGTTTTCCATAGGTCACAACAAGTAATGTGGCCAAGCCCAGATTCAAGGGATGGAGAAACAGACTGTCTCTTCAGGGAAGGAGCAGCAAAGTCATGTGGCAAGCGGGCACGTGTACAGGATAAGAGGAATGTACTAGTGTAGCCACATTCAACAGATAAATAGCAACTGAGACATCTTGTATTTGCCTATGAAAATTTGGTAGCATTTTTTTTTCACTGTGTTTTGTATAGCAGGGCCTATAAAGAGTGTTTCTTTAATCTTTCTGATTGGAAATAAACCCATCAGTAGAGAGTTAAATGCAAATCTTTATTGTAAAATGTATTTAACAATGTTTAATTTTTTTTAGTATGGTGGCCAAGAACATTTGGATGCTCCTCCAGCTGAATTGCTTTTAGCTCAGACAGAAGACTATGTGGAGTACTCAAGACATGGGACAGTCATTAAAGGACAGGAGCGGGCTGTCGCCTGCTCCAAATATGAGGAGGATGTGAAGATCCACAATCACACGGTATGTGTTAAGCCAGAACCATTCTGTGTCCTTGTTGGAATTATGCTCTGGATTGTATTTTTATATTATGACTTCATTATTGAATCATTGCTGTGCTTTTCTTTTTTTTACATTTTAAGTTTATGAATTTTTTTCCAAAAAATAGAAACACTGTAAAAGAATACTCTTCTACTCACCCATATACCCACCACCTAGATTCAGAGTTTTTTTTACATGTTGCCATATACATGCTTCGTCCAGGTGTGTGCATGTACACATACTAAAATATGTGTGTGTGTGTATTTTTTTTACTGAAACATTTGGAAATTACACATACCATGACAGTTCACCTATAAACACAATATTATGTAGCTCTTAAAATTAAGGATATTCTTTTTTTGTAGCTACATTAACAATTCAGAAAATTGACATTAGCTCCTAGTATCATCTAATCTCTTGGCCTTATTCACATTTTTCAAAACACATTCCAAAATGCCTTAAAATAGCTCTTTGGAGTTTTGTTTTATTTTAGTCAGAATCCAATCAAAATTTATTTTGGTTGTTATGTCTCTTTTTTTCAGAGTGTATCTTTCCTTTTTCATAACAGTGATTCTTTAACAGAGCAGGCCAGTTATCTTGTAAACTGTCTCATATTCTGTACTTGCCTGGTTTCTAGTGATGTTATAACTTTTCCTCTATTTCCTATATTTCCTATAAATAGGAATTCAGACTTAAAGGTTTAATTAGATATGTTAAATATTTTGACAAGGACACTTCATAGGTGATACAGAATTCTTCATATTACATCTCTTTATAAAGCTTATAAGGTCACTTGCTGTACTCTTGAAACACGCAAGCTACAGTTGGCTCTCTAAGTTAGGGGTTAAAAGTTTAACTGCCTGGAGGAGCCAGGCTGGTAAACATACATAAGTGAGGTGAGCCAGGCACATTGTACAAAGTAGAGAGCACAAACCCTGTCTAGTAGGACCACTCACTGTTCAACAACAGCCAATTCTTTCCAAGCAGGAAAGTGGGTCCAGGATTTCCTAGTCCTTAAATTTTCAGGGGAAGTCATTTATCCAAATTTTTTAATATGTTTTGGGAATAGAATATAAGAGCATTGTCCTGTAATGCCTGCTTCTCACACTTGAGGTCGGGCCAGCCTTTGCTTGTTAGCTAGCCCTGGAATCCCTATAATTTTCCTTCCAAATTACCTTTAAAGGGACTGTATTTTATACTTCTATCAACAGTATGTGAGAGGCCCTAGTTCAGGTTCCATTTTAAGTAACATCTCTCTTTCTCTCTTTGTAGCATATCTGGGGATCTTACTGGAAAGAAGGCCGATGGGGATACAAATGCTGTCACTCTTTTGTCAAGTATTCCTATTGCACTGGAGAAGCTGGGAAGGAGATTGTTGTAAGTAATTGTCCTCTAGTTCTTAAAATTGTAAAACAACCAAATCTCCTAAGTCAACCCTTTGTGAAGCATATATATCCTCATGCTTCAAATTTCAACTTTTTCTTACATGATTCATAACTATGATACTCAAGTCCAATTACATGTATTTTCCCACAGAATTCAGAGGAATGTATTGTAAATGATATAACTGGAGAAGAATCTGTGAAAAAACCTCAAACGCTCATGGAGGTAAGTCTATCATAATTTGTCCTGAGTTTTTAAATCTCTGAGGCAGGACTTTCAAACTTGCACTAGAGCTTTGTTTTTGCATTAAAAACACTATATTTTAATCCTCCCTGTCAGATACATCAGGAAAAACTAAAAGAGGATAAAAAGAAGAAAAAGAAGAAGAAGAAGAAGCATCGAAAGAGCAGCTCAGATAGTGATGATGAAGAAAAGAAACATGAAAAACTGAAAAAGGTACTTTGTGAAGTCTAAATAGTAAAAGTGACACCAGTATTCATTAAAAATGAAGAAATGAGCTCCTCTTCTGGGTGATTTGCTCATGTCACCTTGTATCAGGTCTAGAACGAGAAGGAAGATTTTGTGTGTCTCCGTATTGCCTGCTTTTTGGAATATTTGACAAATACACTAAAGCACAGAAAAAAAAAACTGCCGTGTAATTTTAGAATTATTAACATGTTTCCTTCGAGCTCTATAACCTGTAAGTTTCATCAACTCCTTGGGAGAAGTCAGAGTTGCATTCTTCACCAGAAGCATCATTTGTGGGCTTCTGCCAGTAAAATGAACATCATTCAATTTTTGCTATTAAGTAAAAGTTCTTTTTTTTTTTAATTAACCCTTTATTTTACTAGAGCAATTTTAGATCCAAGTAAATTGAGCAAAAGGTATAGCTATTTCCTATAATAACACATTTATAGCCTCCCATATTATCAACATCCCCCACCAGAGTAGTACATTGTTAAAATTGGTGAAACTGTATTGATGCATCATAATCACCCAACATGTATATAGGTTTCAAGTGTACAATACTATAATATATCATCTGTATATTGTGTGTTTACCGCCCCAAGTCAAGTCTCCTTCCATCACCACTTACCTGCGCCCCCTCCCCTTCATCATCTTAAGTAAAAAGTCTTTAAGATTGAAAATACTGTAGAATGGTTGGGCTCTATGAAAATAATCATATGAGCCAAATAGTGACTAGTTGCAGCTTGATAGAGGAAGGCTGACTCCCAAGCCCTTTCAGGTCATCTAGGTTTTTGATGTAGCAGTTCATATGCAGTGGAGTCCTTTGGTTTTCTGCCACTTTGGAACAAAAGAGAACTGATGTAGAGCCATGGCACTCACGTTTTCTCTCTTTCTGCAGGCACTGAATGCAGAGGAGGCCCGCCTTCTTCATGTCAAGGAGCTCATGCAGGTTGATGAGAGGAAACGGCCTTACAATATCCTGTATGAAACTCGGGAACCGACCGAGGAGGAAATGGAGGCCTATAGAATGAAGCGTCAGAGGCCGGATGACCCCATGGCCTCTTTCCTTGGACAGTAGTAACTAGTTGCAGATGGTCATTCATGATAAACACAGCTGAAGATATATTCTTTCCAGCTTCTTGCCAGTGATTGTAGATGGAAAAGTCAAGTGTCTGCTCATCTTGCTGCCTGACTTTAATAAAGTCTCCAGAAGTTTAATAGTAAATTCATTCCTTGCCATGCTGAAGGAATAGAAGAAAAACAAAGAGGAGGTACATTAAGAGCAGACTAAGATTTTTACTTCCAATTTTATATTAGTGATATGGAAAGAGGCCCTGGCTGGCTTGCTCAGTATATTTATATCTTTCTGTCTCTGTGCCCGCCCCCGCCCTTTCTCTCATCTTCCACTCAATAGTTAAGTCTTAAACTTTATTTTTAACGGTAGATTAATTTTTCTCAAAACTAGGGCTTCATTTTTTTTTTTAAATTGCTAGTAACTATAATTGTTATTTTATAGTCATTTGATTTTTTTGCTTTCTAATGTTTTCCTGGTTTGCAATTTAAAAAAAATTCTATCTGAAAGGAAATTTGTAGAACATGTGAATAACTTTATCCACTTTGGTGGTAATTCTGTTTTTCACTCATTTATAAAATTTTGATTTTTAAAATATTTTTTTATGTCTTACACCCAGAACTAAACGTGTTAGCCTGTGAATGGAAAAATAGCTGTTTTGTCATTCTTGAGTCAGAGTTGACCAATCAGTTGACCAATTAGGTCTCTTACCATTCTATATAATAAAAGTATAATATGCAAATCTACCAAACGGTGGAATGACCGGTCGCTATGATGCGCACTGACCCGCACTCAACACAGGAGCTGCCCCCTGGTGGTCAGTGCACTCGCACGAGGGAGTGCTGCTCAGCCAGAAGCTGGGCTCACGGCTGGAAGTGCAGAGGTGGTGGCAGGGGCCTCTCCCACCTCCGCTGCCCGCAGGTGGTAAGGAGTGAGGGGTCCCGGACTGCAAGAGCCCCGGACTGTGAGAGGGATGTCTGACTGCCAGCTTAGGCCCAATCAGGTGGACATCCCCCGAGGTGTCCCGGACTGCAAGAGGGCGCAGGCCGGGCTAGGGATACCCCTCCCTGCCCCCAGTGCACAAATCTCATGCACCAGGCCTCTAGTTTTGATAAAAACGTTTAGACACGGAAATCCTTTCCTTTATCCTAGAGGATATTCTTTGTGATACTATATTTTATTTTAATTGTGATTGCTTTTATGTAACAATCATGAATACTAAATTTGATTTTAAAAGCGTTTAGAATTTCCTTGTACCTAATCTTTGTAGCCAGCAGGTGTCACTGTAAAATTTGCAAAAGCAAAACCTAAAGTTAACGGTTTCTTCAAAGAATTATAAGGATAGCCTGTAGGGCTACTCGCAACTGCAAATGCCATGATCCTCAAGCCTCTTTTTAGAACATTGTGAAAATACAAGGAGAACAGGGTCTGTGAAAAAAAACTAGTTAAAACCTTTGACATGAGAATATTGACTTTTAACACCTCGTTGGATTTTCTGAGCTACCAAAGTCCACTAGGATACTGCATTAAGTTAGCATCTTAGAAATAATTCTGGTGGGAGAGTAACTGAATTGTCAAGTACTATGGATATCTGCATGGTATCTAGATTCAGGCTGGCATGAAATTAAAACAGCAATGCAAATAGATCTAATTCTTGCCCACTTTAAGAATGTCAAAAGTTCATTTTTTCATATTCCTACTTTAACGTAGGATAGTTCAGCATAAATCTGAGATTGGTGTTTATTTTTTATCTTATTTACCTTCTGTTAATAAAGATTTATAATTGAGAATACTTAACTATGAATGCTTTGTAGCATTATTTCAAATATTTGGTAGAAAACTGGTTGCTGATAGGGCTCCAAGGAAGCCTGTGTTAGCTTATGTGAGTTTGAATCAGAAATTTTCAGGGTTCTTTAACTCAAAAAAAAAAAAGTGTCACCTATCCTTTCTGGGCCTCTGTTCCCTCTTCTGTGAAGCCTAATTTACTCTGATTTTAGGAAGAATTCTGTAATATCTGAAATCATGTCTTATTTCTGTTTCAATTCAGAAAAAAAGGTAATACCCAAAATATTACTCAACATAATGTGCTTTGATTTTATCAAAAATGGCTGCTTTTTGATAGCTGCTTTTTGAGTGCTGGCACTCTGTGCTGTAATTTTCATATATAACATCTCCTCAAAAGAACGGCATGGGGCCCTGGCTGGTGTGGCTCCTTGGTTAATGGGTCACCCCCCCCCCCCCCACACACACACACACACACACACACAGACACACTGAAGGTTCCTGGATTTGATTCCTAGTTAAGGCCACGTACCTGAGGTTGCAGGTTCAATGCCCAGCCCATCCTGATGCATGCAGGAGGCAACCAATCAAGGTGTCTTTCTCACGTCAATGTTTCCCTCCCTCCCTTCCATTCTGTCTAAAATCAACGGGGAAAATATCCTGGGGAAAGATTAACAAAAAAGAAAACTGCATGGGGTAATGGATGGTATCCCTACAATAAGCACTTTGGCTTAATGAATCCAAGTCATTTGCTCAGGACCTAACAGTTCAAAGTGTTGGCCCCAGGACAGGAAGCCAGGTATCTCTTGACTCCAAAGCCAACTCTTCTCTAGTATTTAAGCTCCTGGTTCCTGGGCCAGGAATGCTATCTGTTGCAATTTCTTCCATTAACAGAAACCTTGAGCAGGCCCTCAGTCTTGACCAAGTTCACCCTCAGCACCTGAAAAGGCATCTGCCCCACACTCGAGCACTTGCTAGTCCCCCAGCCTTGTGGGATGCTTCCACATGATTGACTATCCAAAAAACGAAATGTCATTTCCTGAAGAATTCTGGATGAAAATACCATCCAAATAAGAAAGAGGGTTATGCCGAAACCGGTTTGGCTCAGTGGATAGAGCGTCAGCCTGCGGACTGAAAGGTCCCAGGTTCGATTCCGGTCAAGGGCATGTACCTGGGTTGTGGGCACATCCCGGGTGGGGGATGTGCAGGAGGCGGCTGGTCGATGTTTCTCTCTCATCGATGTTTCTGACTCTCTATCTCTCCCTTCCTCTATGTAAAAAATCAATAAAATATATTTAAAAAATAAATAAAAAATAAAAGCAATTAAAAAAAAAAGAAAGAGGGTTATAATTGGGTCTGTGGGTTTTTTTAAAATATATTTTTATTGATTTTGGAGAGGAAGGAAGGAAGGAGAGAGAGAAACAACAATGATAGGAGAGAATCGTTGATCATCCGCTGCCTCCTGCACGCCCCCCACTGAGGATGGAGCTGGCAACCCTGTTCTATCCACTGAGCATAACCGGCAAGGCCTGGGTTTGTTTCTTTAAACAATGTTTTCTAGTTTCTCTGATCTAGCTTACTACTTTAAAGTTCGATTTAAGAGAAGTATAAATAAAAATCTTTAAGATGGAGGATAATTCTCAGGAAATTCATCCACACTCAAATGTATGGAAGGATGGGGGGGTGACCAGCGTGGGCAAGAGGACCTAAGCTCTGTCCCCTTTGCCTGAATGTTTGATTTGGGAGTATAATGAGCCTCCTCTTATTCGTCACTGATTACACGTAGAAAATGGTAAATTATTAGAGTTTACAAGTTCAAAGCTTGACACGCTATAAAATTTTATTTCCAGTGCTCTGAAGAACTGTGTAGACTATACACTGCCTGCCATTCTTTTAGACTCTACTTTTCTGGCACATTCAATACACACAAAATTTCCAGCTCCACGTACACAGCCTAAGAAAAGCGGGTGGGGGAAGGGGGGGGGGGGGACGGCCAGCGCGCATGCTCCTTACCCGAGCCAGCCCGGCCCTCAGCAGGTTGCTAACGCGCCTGCGTGCCCGGAGCCGCCTCGCCCAGTCTGCGGGGCGAGAAGCCACCGCAGGACCCGGATGGAAGCCCGGAGCGGCTGGGGCGGAGGTGGTGGCGGGCACGTCTGTGTCACCCGGGTTCCTGCTCCGGGTTCACACCTAAGGAACCGCCGCCTGGACTGGTTCCGGCGCCCAGAGGCTTGGGCCTCAGACTAGCGGACCTGGGGCCTGAAACGGGCGCCTCCGAGAAGCCCGAGCGTCCTTTGGGCCTGCGCCTCCCGCTCGGAGACGGGCGGGTGCAGACCGAGCAGGTCCTCCTTCCTCGCCGCCGGCGCCCTTCGCTCGTCTGGGCAGCCTCCAAAGCAGCGTCCGTAATAATAGCACCAACAGGTCCTTCCTACCACTTCCGAGCTGCGTGTGCTTTCCGCGCATGCTCCTTATTAGACATCCCAGCGACCCTCCCAGGTAGGTACTATTGTCAGCCCAGCCCCAGCCTGTGGGGGACAAAGCCAGGACCGCAGGCTTTTGCCTCTGGAGCGTTTGCTCGTCCCTTTTCTCCTGGCTATTTGCTTTTAACTGTAAAATGAAATGATTTAAATCCTCTGCCTGCCCAGACACCCGCACCTCCCGCGGACTCGCATAGACTAATAGAAGTTGAATGGAATTTGGTTTGGAGTTTTAGGTTTACAGCTGTACTTTGGTGTTGTCACTGCTGAGATATGTATGTGTTAGCATTCCCCAAATATTTCTGTTATGTGACTGTCCACCTTTTAACTGTTTTTTTTTTCTCTCTCAATCGTAATACTTTTTCATATCTACCCTTCTGCTTCAAAAACCTGCAAAAAAACATTCTACTTTGTTATATCAGATCTCTCGTTTTGAGTCTCAAAAGAAGTCTGTGTTACAGAATTTTGGAAACTTTGGGGATCACTTATATTTACCTGGGAAATAAAATTGTTTCTAAGGTATATTTGAGCCTACCTTTGTGTTATACCTTTGCTCATTGTTCAGGAGGGAAAAAAGAAAGGAAGTTGTCATCAATTCAGAAAACTTAAATGCCTATTAAAGCATTTAGACTGTTTACTTAGCAACCTAGAACACCTGCCAGCTAGAGACTGGCCCGAACGGCATGTTTTCATTCCTCTCAGTCTGACTGTATAGTAGGATCTGTATCAGAATCGCCTGGACAACTTCCTTTTTTATTCTTTTGTCTTATTCTGGAGATGATCTGTTAGTTCTAAGGTAGGACATGGGCATGCATACTTTCAAAGGGGATCCCAGTGATTATGATGGGCATCTCTTGTTAGAGATTACTGTTCTAGTTACTCTTCGCAAG